CTTTTCCCTGAATTCCAAACCCCTTACTTAAGTTTTCTTCTCCTTATAAAAAAAGCAGGCTTGAAATGAAATGTAGGACTGTCTTTTGGGGTACATAGCCCACCATCTTTGCAGGTTGCAGGCATCTGAATAGAGCGCCCATAAAGATTCAATCCTTATCTCTATTTATTGCTTCTGGTAGTGACAGGCAGCATGAATGCCAACTTTTCTGGTTTCGTAATCTGGTGACTCTGCCGGGACAGACTTCAGGACTCTCTGGTAAGTCTGGGTATTTGGCAGGAGTCTTGTTGGCTGCCTAGGCTAGGAGGCCTTTGGGGGGCGGACTCCTTAGCAGCTGCCGAGTTCACTCGGGGCCTCTCCTCCAACTCGCAGCACTCCCATCGCCTTCACTTTTCAATGGACTTGCTGTGTGTTCTGGTTCAGGGTTACAGTCCCAGATCACGACTTAGATTGGTCGTCAGGAATTAAGGTGACTTCTGGTTTGGCCCGTGTGATATTACAGAGTTCTATCTGGTAGGATGGGGGTGAGGGGAAGCCTCTGTTTCGGGAAGCAGCCCTTCGGGGAGAGTTTTGGCTGGTTGGTTGACCTATGCTTATAAACTCCTGCTAAAAAGAAAATGATTTTTTTATTGTAATGCTTGGCTTATGTATAATCTGGACTCAGGAGAGTACTGGCCGCTGAATGGGTCTTTAAGTTACTATATTGCAATTGGAGTTGTTTTGTCAAAGACCAGGGAAGTGGGACAAAATGCCTTACATATAAGCTTTTATAACTTAACATAATAAAGATGAAGAATTAAAAGGAAATCCATTAGCTCTGGCTGGTATGACTCAGTGGATTGAGTACCGGCTTGCATACCAAAAGGTCTCTGATTTGATTCCCAGTTAGGGCACTTGCCTGAGTTGCGGGCCAGGTCCCCAGTTGGGGGCGTGCCAGAGACAACCAATCAATGTATCTCTTGCACATTGATGCTTCTCTCCCTCTCTTTCTGCTTCATTTCCCCTCTCTCTAAAAATAAATACATAAATTTTTTTCAGAAAAGGAAATTGATTAACGGTCCAGAGAAAAGGGAACTTGCCTGTGGCGGATAGAAGTTCAGAAGAGAGGGGCCAGGAAGATCTGGGTATCATGGCTACTGTGACCATGGTCAAGGGCCCCACAGCCCCTCCAGTCCTGGGAAATCTTCCTCTTTACTCGACTGAGGGAGTTGGAAGAGGTGAGCCTGAACCCACCTCTCTCCCAAACCCATCAGAGAACCAAATTCGGTAGAGGACAAGCCCCTGCCAGGGCAGGGCAATAACCTTTGCAGACTTCCAATAGGAGTAGGGCCAGGGAGCCAGCCTAGTGGGTATTACTGAGTGCATATTCCATTTTCTACATCGGGTCTGTTAAACTGGAGAAGCTCAAGTTCTTCTTATAAAGATGAACCTACTAAAATGACTGATTCAGTTGCGTCCATTTTTTCCAACCACCACCCCAATGGGGCAGCCATACAAGCCTTACTAAATATTTTGCTTATGGGAGATAAGCAGAGGCCAGTATTGGATAAGGCAAATGAAGAAATAGGCTTGGGGATTGCAAAAGAATATCCAGATGTGGCTCCCGACCCTACTAGGGCAATACCTTTGACCAAGTCCAACTGGGACCCTAATGAGACTGGACTTCCTCTCTTAAAACTAATAGTACAGCTACCTTGAACCACATGGAATCCATAAAATATCAGCACAGAAGGCCCAGATTTGCCAAAAAGCAGTAAGGTTTCTTGGGTTCCTGCTTGAACCACGTATATTAAACTGTGGCTCACAGGTCCTGGAATTTCTAACGCTGTACAAAAAGTAATTGCTGGATGTGTTGCGTGCCAGAAGAACAACCCCCAAGACAGATCCCCGTCAAAAGAAAGATGGGAAACAATGCCAAGGACGATGTCCACGTTGAGGACTGGCAAATAGACTTTACTCAGATGCCAAGGGTCCGAGAATGGACATATTTGTTAGTTTTTGTTGACACCTCTCCAGGATGTGTAGAAGTCTATCCTACTAGAACAGAGAAATCCTTGGAGGCAGTGAAAGCCTTACTGAAGCGAATAATTCCTCACTCAGCCGCAGCCAGAGCAATAATGGGCCTGCCTTTGTTTCAGAAATTACACAGGTTAGTAAATATTTAGGAATCAAGTGGCTACTCCACATGACATGGAGACCTTGGGCCTCTGAGAAGGCAGAGAAGAAGAATCACGCCTTGAAGAAACATATAGCCAAGCTGTGTCAAGAAGCTTGTCTCCACTGGCAACAAGCTTTACCTGTTGCTTTGCTCAGGATGAGGGTGGCTCCTCAAAGTGGGATTCAATTGAGTCTTTCTGAAATTGTGCATGGATGACCATTTCAGGCTATGATTGGGGTGGGAGACATGTACACAGATCAAGAAGTGAAGGTAAAGAAATATGTACAACACTTAAGTCACACCTTGGCTGTAACTAATGACCTTGCTTGTATCAGAGACTTCTCCCCCACCGGTTCACTACATTCCTTTGAGCCTGGAGATAAGGTGCTGCTCAAGACTTGAAAGACAGGAGAGCCAACTAGAGGAAAAGTGGACTGGACCTTGGGACATACTCCTCACCACCCCCACCGCAGTGAAGTTGGCAGAAGTAAAACCTTGGATTCACCACACCCGAGTAAAGAATGCACTGGAGGAACAATGTACCACTGGACCACAAGAAGACCTGAAAGTCATCTTTTGAAAACAATGACTTACATTCTCTTCATCCCTTTTTGTTTAACCCCATGTTATAGAGAGCTTATTCCTTTCAAGTCAAATGAAAATTTTTGTGTATATTTAGCAAAAACGTTCTAACTATCTCTGACTTTTGCCTTGCAGGAGGACCCTATGTTGAACAAACTTTCATGTCTTTTTTTCCTTCTATTTTCACTTCATGTCTTATAGGTGTTTGTGTTCCCCTGGAAAGCCTTAGAAATTATAATTTGTTTCAGCATATCAATAAGAATATAACCCATGATGACATTATATTTGGGGACCTGTAGTAACTCTAAAAGACAGGGAAGTGTTTTCCTTAAAAATCACTAATGCAGCCCCGGCTGGAGAGTGTGAAACATTTGTCCACTGTTCTAAAACCTGTTTCACGCTTTCAGCAGACATGGAGATGAATTGCAACACCATAGTGTATCTTATGCCTTTGGTCACATCAAATTACCTGCAGGATGGTTTCTAATATGTGGAAGGGCCATTTATTCCTGTGTTCCAGCAAACCGTTCCAGGGGACCATGCTCTATGGAAGACTGACGGTGTTTATGCCCAGAAGCCCCACACACCTGGCTCAATGGGATCTCTCCCTTGAACCTGATTGTAACAGGGATTTGCACCTTTTCAGCTCTGCTGAATATGTATCTTTAACAATATTTGTAGTACCAGCCATGGTAACCTCTTTGAATGTAGAAATAAGTAGATTAGTCTGTGCTATGTGGCAAAAGCTTTAAATATCACCTCTCAAGCCATTAGTTCAATCAGTCAAGAACTAGGATGAGTTAGAGAAGCCACAGTATTAGAAGCTTATAGAGGCTGTGTGGAGACAGCTACATAGACTACCTCCTTTTAAGACATAATCACGGATGTGAAGAATTTAAAGTAAAAGACTCTGCTGTTTCAATCTGACTGATATTTCATGGCTCATAGAGCATAAAGTAAAGTAAATGAAGTAGTGTCCAAGATAAGAAAGAAAGAAAGAAAGAAAGAAAGAAAGAAAGAAAGAAAGAAAGAAAGAAAGAAAAAGAATTTTTGGTATTGATCTTTCTAAACTAATCTCCTTGCTGCCCAGTATTACTGGTCTTAGAGAGGCATTTGTGGCTTTCATCTTTTTCAGTATCATAGCTTGTTGCGTACAATGTGCCCCCTTGTGTGGATCTGCAACTAAGTGTATTCCTAATCCCCCTACCAGACCTTCTCATGCTGATACATGCTCAACAGCAAAATGATTACTTCCATATGAAACTGATCTCAGAGAAATAACACAGTTCAGACTAACAGTGCAGGAATGATAGGGGAACTCAACAGTTGGAAAAATTTTAGTTTTAAGTTATAGTTAATAAGCTTAGTAATGAGTGCATGTAAAAAGCTATTGTTCCAGGAACTGAAAGTATGACCCACCCGACTCCAGGAGACACAAGCAGTTCACCTTCGTGCCCCAGGAAGACTGCAAGCAATCAAGATGGTATCTGAGCCATTGTATTCCAGGGAAGACGTCCTTGCCCAGCACACAGATAAAGGATCACTGGGCAACAGATGAAAGAATGCTAGGAATATTGCCTGAGTGCAGATTTTATCCGATTAACCTTTCCCTGAATCTCAAACACCTTATCTACACTGCCTTTCTCCTTATAAAAAAGATCGGCTTGAAATGAAATGTAGGACCTTTTTTAAAGGTACATAACCTGGCATCTTCTCAGATTGCTGACCATCTGAATAAAGCGCCCATAAACATTCAATTCTTGTCTCTACTTATCGCTTCTGGTAGTGACAGGCAGCACCAACTACTGACTTTTCTGGTTTCCTCCTAACTGGAGGGGTCTGTACACGGGACGCCACGCGGGTAACTGCGTCAGTACTTCCCAATACAGATGGAGCGCGACAGCCAGGTGAGCTGTTTTAGCTCAGATCTCAGAGTAGGGTGGGTGGAAGTCATGCAGGGAAGGGCCCAGTGTAGGGTGGGTGCAAGTCTTGCAGCAAGGGCTGAGACAGACAACCCACATTCCACCCCCCCCTCCACCCCCCACCAAGCTGGATTAGTGACCTTCGCCCCGCCCAGCACTCAGGTCTGTAACAAGGTTCTAGGAGAAGCCAGGGGCGGGGCCACGGGTAACAACTTGGCCAAGGTGGTCCGGAGAGTTGTTTATTGGAGAGACGCTCTTAGTATCATCGACCAATCAGCGTTCCCGGCAGGAGGAGTGCCTGGACCAACGTCCATTTAGGGTGAATCGTCTGGACAACCGGCCAATCCTGGCCGTGGGCAGGCGGGCTCGCAGCTGCGTGAAGAGCTCTCTCGGGCTTTTGCAGTGCAGGTGCCGCGGAGCCAGCCGGGAGGACGCTGGGATAGGAGCGGACCCTAATGGTGAGTTTTGGGTCCGGTGGTAGTTTGGGGTGAGGGTGTTGGAGAGGGAGGTGTAGAGAGGGGTTGTTGATACGAACCTTCCTGAACCGGCATTAAGCGACGGGGAGGTGGGGGTGGCGGCCTCCTCGAGCCTCACGGTGTTCTGACCCGAGTCCTTGGCTGCGCAGGGGACGAGGGAGGGTGAGCGGGGCAAGAGCTGTTGCCAGTGGTCGGGGATTGGGAGCTGAGGGGGGTTGCACGCGGGGTCGGGGGGACTCGATCCGGACGGCAAAGGAGGCTTTAAGACAAAGCCTGTTGCAGTAGGGAACAATGCTCGGATCTCAGAGCGGCGCCCCCGTCTCTGATCCGACAGAAAAGGGCTTTTCCTTCTGTGGAAGGAGTGGAAGCAGGGGGAGCAGGAAGCCGTTGTGACAGGAACTGCTCTCCCTGCGGTCAGCGCGTTCTCGGCTCAGGTCCTCAGGACCTTGTCTCCGTCCCAGTGCTTGTTCGACGCGGGGGGTGATGTGGGGTGGGGGGCAGTGTCTGGACCTGTGGGAAGGACAGGAGCCTGTATAAAGTTTGGGTATGAAATGGGCAATTGTGATCGTTTGGTGGAGCCTGTAAAAAATGAAGAATGTGAACTTCCTTAGGAGGGACTTTCCAAAGAGTTATTGCAAGGGGTAGGAAGAAGCGACTCTGCACTCGGGGCATGGGCTGTGCGGTAGGGAAAATGCTCTGACCTTACCATCTCCAAGCGTCTCAAGAGTTGAACTATATGGTTTTTCTTTTCTTTCTTTTTTTTTTATTTTTTGGGGTGGAGTCAACAAACGCAGGAAAGGTAAGGTGTGGTTGAGATAGCAGGTCCCCAAGGCAGTCTGTTCTCAGGAGTGTCGTGTGCTGGCTCAGGCTGAGGACAGACCACCGTGCAGGGGTCTGGGGGAAGGAGAGAAGCTGGACCAAAGTCTGGCCAACAAGCATTTGCTTTGCTTGGTCAGTGGAGATGAGCAGTTCAGTTAATCAGTGATGAGGCACAGAAGAGGATTTTGGGGGCGGGAGGGGGAGGTCTGCGTCTAGTCTTGTCCTGGATAGACAAGTGCAAGGGGGTTCTTGCAGCATGCCCTTTCCCAGAACAAATGGGTGGGGCCCAGGGTAGTGCTTCCTTCCACCTTCCATGCTCATTACCAGTAGCTGCTCTCCCAGGGAGGATTCAGCCTTGTTACCTGACACGTGTGAGCAGTCTGTGTCCAACTGAGCACTGAGTTTTCCCTTCTTCTAGCCTCAGGTTACAGCAGTTGTCAAATGACGCCCCCCCCCCCCATTTCTTCTCCTTAGTGAGGGTAGTGAGGGTCTCAGGTCTTTGTTCTGTTGACTTCCATTATTACAGGGCTGAACTAGAGATGCCATTGGGGGAAATTGTCGCAGTACAGAAAATGTCCTCTCTTCCCGTAGGATTGCTGCGGTTGGGGGGGGGGGGGCAGGAAGGAATGCACGAAGTGTCCACACTTTCGTGAGAGGTGGGTGGAGATTTGGATTAAAGTATTAATAAAAGTGGTAGTAACTCTTCCATTCAGGGTGCAGAGTTTGTGACACTGCGTGATCCTGTCCCATTTGCTGTTAATAGCTTGTTGTGAATTGATGCCCTCGCCCCCAACACTCACCTTCCGTTCTTGTGTTTTCATTTCTGTTATGTGGCTTCCACAGCTTACATTGCCTGACTTAATTTTTGTCTGTCTCAAGTGTGACTTTACTCAAGGTGACCCAGGATCCCCTTGTGGTGACATGAATTTTGCTGATCACCACTGAGGTAGAAGGTTTCACCTTCTGTGAAATAATTTTAAGCCATTTGGTCACCTTTTATTACTTTCTGTGTTTATCGATTTCTGACATTTTCTTAGATACTCTGGGCAGGAATCCCGTTTCATTTGTAGACACTGTACACATTTTCTCTGAAGTGTACAGTTCATCTTTTCACTCTGTTCTGTGCTGGTGAAAGGAGTCTTCATGGTAATAGAAATGCATTTTTCCATCTCTTCGTTTGTAGCTTGTTCTTTTCCCCATTGTATTACAAAACTCTCTGTACTAGGAAGTCATAGAACACTTGACTGTAACTCGTTCTGAAAGTGTTCTATTTACATTTGCACCAAGTTGGTTATTGTTGCCACCTGTGGGTGATCATCACTCAACCCACATGGTCAGAGTGTTCCTTATTTCCCGCCTTGGGGCAGTGCGTGCTTGGCAGAGATCCATGCTCCAGAAGTGGTCCTGTGTCAGAGACTTCCATTCTTTTTTTTTTTTTAAGATTTTATTTACTTTTTAGAGAGAAGGGAAGGGAGGGAGAAAGAGAGGGAGAGAAACCTCAACTGGTTGCCTGTTGCACATGCCAACCAGGGACCAGACCCTCAGTGCAGGCATGCGCCCTGACCAGCAGTCACACCGGTGACCTTTCTCTTTGCCAGATGATGCCCAACCAACTGAGCCACACCAGTCAGGGCAAGACTTCCATTCTTATCCATGGATCCCTCCATCTGCTACACTGGGCTGTCCCAGTTACTGTTGTGACCTAAATACCTTCATGTGTTTCTGGGAAGGTCCTTCCACCTTGTTCTGTAGAGACATGGCTTTTTAGACATCGGCCTGTCATTTAGTTTCAACAACTGCTAATTAACCGCCCCCCCCCCAAGGTTTTGGATTTAATGGAAGTTTACTAAAAGTCTGCATCTACATTTGGGAGAGTTGTCATGGGGGCATTGAGTGTCCATTCAGAGGGCATGCGCCATCTTTCCATTTCTTTCTTTGTACTTTTGATGTCACTAGTATGTTTCCTAGTTTGTCATTATGGTCGCTTTATATCCTTCATTAGACATTTCATTGGAAAAGCCTCCAGTTCTCTTCCTCTGTCTTTCTTCTTTACTCTCACACAGAACACTTCACTTCTGACATACTTGGTCACCAGGTAAAGGAGCATTTCTGTGCAACAGTCAATTCCGTGGCACCACCTAGATGTCCTACAAGTTAACCCAATTTTGACACCATCTACCTAGAGTGTCTACCTGGAGGCGAAGAGCTCAGACCCACAAGACTGCCCTTTAATGCCGATGCCAATCACAAGTAGTAGGTCCCCAGGTTACCCACAGCTTCTTTGGACTTGGCTGCAAATCAAGGGTCTCATGGCCCCTCCCTGGGTTTGATTAATTGGTGGAGCAGCTCAGGGAAACACTGAGTTATGTTTACCAGTTTATTAAGGAGATGATAAAGGATAGAGATGAACATCCAGATGAAAAGAGGCATAGGTTGAAGTCCTGGAGGGACCTGAGTGCAGGAGCTACTGCCCCTGTGGAACTGGGGCGTGTCACCGTGCCCATGTGGGTGGGTTCCCCTAAATGGAAGCTCTCTGAACCTTATACTATTGGGACTTCCTACATTCTGGAGGCGTGATCCATTGTAAACTCCATTTCCAGCCCCTCTCCCCTCCCTAAAGTGTGTGATTAGATATGAACATTCCAAAGTTCTAATCTTGGCTGGGGCTTTCAGGTGACAGCCCCCTCCCAGGAGCCACCCAGAGTCACTTCATAAGAACAAAGATGCTCCTAGTGCTCTTGTCACTTAGGAAATTGCAGGGGTGTCAGGAACCAGAGAACAGTGGATATGTGTTTGGGGGGTGTGGGTGTGTATTATCTCACAGACATACTTTAGAACTTTAAGAAAATTTGTAAAAAAAATTACCAATCAATTTAGCTTTAATTGTCTAGGCTTTTTTTTTTTCAATTTTTATTTTATTCCTTAAGATTTTATTTATTTATTTTTAGAGAGGGGAAAGGAGGGAGAGAAACATCAATGTGTGGTTGCCTCTTGCACGCCCCCTGCTGGGGACCTGACTAGCAACCCAGGCATGTGCCCTGACTGAGAATCAAACTGGCGACCCTTTGACTTGCAGGCCAGCACTCAGTCCTCTGAGCCACACCAGCCAGGGCTAATGGTCTAGGTTTTATAAAAAATTCCTTTTAACTGCTGTTGCTAGTGATTCATAGTGAACTGAGATTTCCTTTTATGCCATGTTTGTACTCTGGAAAGCCACTAAGAGCATATTCTGAACTCATCTTGTACTTTGTGTATCTTCCACAGTAATCCTTGGAGCTAGGACTATAGGCAGCTTTTTCCTTCTGCTAGAATTCTTGCATATTTTTGTTTACTGGATCTGGATAGGACCTCTAACAGGAGTGAGGCAAACGGCCTCCTTGTTTGACCTAATTTGGAGGGAAAGGTCTCACTTTCCATCATTTGTGTGTTCTTTAATGAACACTCCTTTTCGGTGTGCCCCTCCTCAGGCTCTGCAGGTTCCAGCCCATTCCTAAACTGCTAAGGGTTCCCCTGTGGATGCACGTGGACTGGGTTACAGCTTTTTCTTTATTCAGACGTTGTGACACTGTTCTTTTAAGGTGGTACTGTGATAAATTATAATTGACTTTGTAGTGTCTAACTATAAAATACAGTGAATATAGAAGATGCACAAGCAGCTACACAACCTGAAGTGAACGTCTGTGTGAGGACAGGCGGGCCATGGAGTGGATGGGACCCTCCCACTGGACACCCCACTTGAAATGACTCTTATGGACAGGCCTCCTTCCTGGGTGAATGATACAGGGGTAGGCAAAAGTAGGTTTACAGTTCACTTATGGAAAGATACATAATAATACAAGAAGAAATTCTGTGTTTTGTGTACTCACAATTGTATACCTACTTTTGCCCACACCTATGTGTGCATGCACCCCCACGTCAGTGTATTTTATTTCTGCACGTTTTCTTTTGAGTGTACACAGCATCACACTGCATATCCGATTGAGGGTCGGGTTTCTTTTGTTCGCAGTTCTGTTTTATCCCATGGAATGGGAGCTGACTTTTGTTGCTTGGCACTGGGCCCTGGTGACACTCTGACCTTTTCATTTGTTGATTCTTCTGCTAGTGGTCACATGGGTGGCTTCATGGTTTTTTGTTATGACGCCTTTTAACAACATTACTGGATG